TTTTTTTTTTTTTTTTTTTTTTTTTTTTTTTTTTTTTTTTTTTTTTTTTTTTTTTTTTTTTTGTAAACGTTTGCCCCAATTCAATTGTGGGAAGGTTGGTTTGTATATATATATATATATATATGAAAGTTTCCAATTTGTTTATATATTTTCAATTTTATAATATATTTATAATTTTTTTTTTGAAAAAATTGTTAAAAAGTTGAAGTTGAAATTTAAATAATATACTAAATCATTTTTAGACTCAATTAATAATGGTCTATAACTTTTTAAAAAAAAATTCAAAAATAAATACTTTTTTATTATTATTATTATTATTATTATTATTATTAGGCTTAAAAATACTCATAAAATTTTAACAATACCTTTATAAATAAAATAAAATAAATAAATAAAATAATTTAAATATTTTGAAGGCAAATATTGGAAACAATTATTTTGTTATAAATACGGTGACAGAGAATGATGGGATTTTCAAAACCAAACTGTGATCCATGACTGCCACGTGGACCCAGGAAGTTGAGGTCAAACCAAAAACGCACGCGTTAAATAAACCTTTGTCAGCGACACATATTTCAAAATTAAAAATAAAATTTAATGGATTCGACATTGGGACAGAATGTTCATAAATATTTTGAAAAGTCATAATTGAATTCGAAAAAAATGCGTAAATTTTGATGTTGAGGAAGGGAAAGAATGAAGAGGTTAATTACCCCACAGCCGGTATCAATGGCGGTTCTGATGGACCCATCTTTCATATTAATGAGTTTCCCAATTTTATCAATGTACGCATCAGCTCCGTTAGGGAACATCGTCCCTCCGCCGGGAAATCTGAACCTTTCCCCTTCATATATTATCCAATTCTGCACCGCCTTCTCCACCGTCAGGGATTTATGCGGCACATTTAAGTACCAAGCGTAATCTCTACTCTCCGGCCATGGGAGCGGATTTCGGTACCCCGGCGGCGGAGGAACACGGCACTTCAATATCTCCTCCTTCTCCGGGCAGTGCCTCTCTCGGTAAATCAGCCGGTGTCTTGTGAACTTCAGCGACCTTCTCGTGTCCTCGCATGGCGTGTACTCGCTGTACTCCATGCCGCATGCCGGGAAGTAGCTGGGCTTCCCGGCACCGGTGGTGGTGGTGTTTAGGAGGGTGGTGCATGGGGTGGTGCGAAGGAGGGCGACGGCGGAGGAGGGGTGTTGACGGAGGCCGAGAAAGTAAGCGAAAATGCAGAGGAGGAAGATTAGAGAGATGGTGAAGATTTTTCTCGTGGGTTTGGGAGATGGCCATTTTGAGGCCATTGTAAAAGAAAGAACAAAAGGAAGGAATAGGGAATTTTCATTAATTATATTTCTAAAAAAATTGATATGGAAAGGTGATTTTATACAAGGCAATGAGTTTGGAACTATTGACGACTAGTAATAGAGACATTTCGGCCTTCACCGTCACAATTTGGGCTCTCATTGCTTGATTGACAACCATTAGTACAGACTTTTCGACCCTCGTCAAACAACATTGTAGGCTAAGCCCTGAGACAGATGAGTCATGAGAGGTCTCGTAACATAATTCTCATTAGACAATGGGATCATAAGATGACGGGGATGGTAAAAAAAAAGGTCGGAATCAAAATTAATAATGATACTAATAATAGTTAGCACATAGAAATAAGTAGGAGACCCTTCAAATTTTGGTAAAATAGGTTTCTTATAAAATTCAATAAAAATATATTTGAGAAAAAAAATCAAGTCTGTTATGAGTTATAATTGGTAAGGTTGTCCTTTTTTTCCAAATGCCAGACAGATCAATAATGAAATTGAGCCATTTTTTAATCACATTTTCACTTTTATTTTTAGGCTAAAGATGATGAACTTTCCCCAATTTTTTAAAAATAATTTCCAAACTCGTCCTTAATTTTTGAAGTTTTCTAAAATTTTAAGCTCATACTAATACGACGCGTAAATATACCTGAAAATTCAACCTACTAAGTTCAGTTTCTATCTACAAAATTATCCAGTTTATCGCTGCACAAACCTAAGTAATACAGAAAAGAGAAAACGACATGATTTTTTTCAGTCGAACAATGTTGAGGTAGAGAATTGAATTGTCGACCTTAGATAGGATAATAAATACTTTTATCTATGTTCTAATGAATCAACACCCAACTCTGAGACAAGGGCGAGCCATATTTTTGCAGCAAGTTGAAGATGGGAGGATCAGAACAACAAGGATGAAAGGCTTAGCTGAATTGAGTTGAAGAAGAAGGTTTATATGTTCAAAGAGCAGGGGACTCAATACAAGAAGGTTTAGGGAGAGTTGACGAAATTCTTCAGATTCAAACTCAAATGATTGTATTATTGAAATTGAATAGAATGTTTAACAACAACTTACTTAACTGATATGAAAATCAAAGAAGTTGAAAAGGGGAAGGACATGATGTTACTTACAGATTGATTTAGGAGAGATGGTGATATCAACTCTGAATGTCCTGAAAATGTGGTGCTCCATAGCGTTGCAAAGAGCAGAGAAGATTCAATCGTGAATGATCATCATGTTAAGAAATGCAGGAGCCAGATGAAAAAGCCCCTTCATGGAATTGCAAGACTCGGTGGATAGCTCTTTTGGCGTTCCTTCAAAACAGGTAAATGATGCTAGCTACGCCTGAAATGGTGAAGCATATTGTAAAGGCGAGTTTCAGTAAAAATGAGACTGATCCATAATTGAATCTAAGCACACATGGCGTTGAATTCATGGGAGATTTTCAAAACCAGAAGTCATCTCCAACCATATAAAAGCCAGATTTATTTATCAGGGAAAAGCTCTCTTAGAAATGCAACCTTTTCTTTTCTTGTGGGGAGTTATCTTAGAAACGAAAATCTTTTGACAAAGAGTGAGCTATTAGTGCAGCAATTACAAGTAACGCCTTCAAAATTCAAGAGTAACGAATAATTGATCAATACAGACAATCTTGGGTGTTCAATAGTATGCAACTTTGGACCCTCTTTTTGACAAAAAATGTGACATCTCACATCAGTTGGAGAGGAGAACGAAACATTCCTTATAAAGGTATAGAAACCTCTCTCTAACAAAAGCGTTTTAAAATCGTGAGACTGACAATGATACGTATTGAGTCAAAACGGACAATATCTGCTAGAGGTGGGTTTACATTCTGGAAGGGAAGTGGCATTGCAACACTTTAACCCTCGACTGAATGCTAAGGTGACTACAAAACAAATAGTTCCCTTTTGTAACAGAAAATAAGAATTTATAGCACAGAATCGAAATCAGACTGTAAAACCCATTATGCTCTTCCATGTAATCATGAGAAGATACCTAAACCACATATAGTGTTGAAAATGCACAAATCTGATCTTAGCAATTCAGAACAGAAAGTTCAAACAATCATCAAAGTTTTGGTGTGCGCTGATTTCTTTGCTGAAAACCACTTTTCAAATTCAACATCAGAACTAAACCGTTTGGCAAAATGATGACAATGAAGAAAAGGAAAGCCAAACAGAAGTTCTGACTAATGAGATAAACGGGGAAGAAACAGGTAATAAATTTTGAAGTGTTAAGTAAAAGTATTACCTAATAACGAATGAGTGAGAAGTAGCTAAGACTCGCCCTTGACAAGTTCTTCAACAGAGTTCTTATACTTGCCAATCAGTTCCCTATTATAATAGAGAATCATTAACAGTATCCTTGATGAAAAAGACAAATTAATGCAAACCACAGGCAGAAAATTGCTACCACCATACCTTCGATGATTTAACAACTGCTCATGTTCTTCCAGCTTCTTCTTCTGTCCCTCGACGGTCTGCAACCAAAAAAATAAACATCCTTTTATTTTTTCTCTTTACAAAAAAACGCATCATTAACCACATACAAAAAGATAATGCGTGTGTGTGTGGGCGCATATACACACACACGCATCCATGTATATAAATGTCGGTACAAGAAGAGGGAAATAGGACATTTCTTAGAGGCCTGTTGAGCCTATACAAAAGCAGTCCATAGTTCAATGGTGTGCGCATGATACTGTAAAGAGTTGACGGGCTACAAATTATATCCTATTTCGTTTCTTTCCATACAAGAACTGTACTACTTCCTACTAAAACCTTTGGTCTTTGAAATCATCATCACTAACAATTAGACATTTTTAGGAGGAAACATGATGAATTTCATTGATGACTAACTAAAGCTTAGTCCCCTCCAAACTGTAGGTGATTGTTGCCCATCAAATGGTTTACCAACTTCACTTGCCTATATGGCAGGCTTGCTCCGGATAGGTTCGAATTACTTACAGTATAATGACCCTATGGTGGAAGGGCTTGGTTACTTTAGGAACGTTGAAAATGTGATTATTTTTCCATATTTGTTTGATGAGAAATGTAGATAAAACGGAATTTGCCGGTTTGACCGAGAAATGCAAGATTGTTTAGTCCACTTTCTCCATTCCCACTAATGAAAAAAAGGAGTAAGAACACTCCCAACTCACCTAAGAAAGTTCACCAATGCAAAAATAAAAAAAGAAAGACTAAAAGCCCTAAACCAACATTTAGACACTAAGAAAACAAAAGTTTCAAAACATGAACATTTATACTTCAAACAATTTTGGTACAGCGATGGATTTGTTATGCCAAGCACATGAAGAACACAGTTAAGCAGAGTAGACTTCATCCAGCGCATACATTTAAAAGCAAAACAGAGTTCCAGCATACCATAGCCTTTGAGCTGAGTGATCCAGATATCGAGTTTAACAGTTGCTGGCACTTCTCGAAGTGGTTGTTCAGATCATTAACCTTCCAAAACGTTCCAAGCACAAATTATTGGTGCAAACAACGTTACAATCAATCTTCAAGGAAATTTTGAAAAACAATCAACATTTATACCAATGCATCCGATTGCTGATCTCTAGCTCCATTCTCAATAGTATCCGCTAATTTCTCCACTAGCTACAGCACACGAAGCATCCAAAAATGTCAACAAACACAAAACACAGACATTAGAGAAAACTAGAAATTCAGGTTTTCTGTACGCATTTACATGAAAAAGATGAAAATGGGAAGCCAGAGATTGGTGTTGATGATATTGCTGTTGCTGCTGTTGCTGCTGAAAATGATATTGCTGTTGTTGTTGTTGCTGCTGCTGGGGAAAATGTTGGGGCTGCAATTGCTGCTGGAATTGGGGCGAGGGTTGTTGCTGTTGAAATTGAGGAGAAAGCTGTTGCTGCTGAAATTGCTGCTGGGATTGAATTTGGGGCTGGAATTGCTGTTGCTGTTGGTGAAAGGATTGCTGCTGCTGCTGTTGTTGTTGTTGTTGAAGAGAAAATTGTTGCTGCTGGAGGTAAAGGGATTCTTGATTGGAAAGATTAGAGGAGTTGCTGTGATTGGAAAGATTAGAGGAGTTGCTGAGATTAGGGATGTTGGGGATCATGCTCCAGTTTCCTCCAGAGAAATCCATATCGCCGATTTGCTTTCTTCGGAATTTGAGGTTTCAGGAAATTAGCGCTTTCAATTGTTTGCGTTTTGGTAAGCTTATGAAGCTCCGGTGAATTCTCGCCGGACACGGAGCGGCCAATCGGAAATGCACACAGATAAATAATCCTGAAAGACGAGAACTACCGGGTTCTGATTCAAAGAATTTCCGCGTTTTCTGAGTTTTACATCCAACTTTAAACCATAATTTATTTATATATATATATAAAAAAAACTAATGTTTGATGGACATGACTCTTAAAAATGACATGTCCATTTTAACTCTGGTATTTTGTTTTGGACTTTTCCAAAATGCTTAAAACCAATAGAGAGAGTATTATTTGATTATAAACTCATGATCCTTCCATAAATTAGCCTTTGAAATCAAAACTCACGATCCTCCCATAAATTAGCAGCTAAACATAAATATTTATGGTTCAAGTAAGAAAAAATCCAAAATCGAAAATTCTTGCTCAAATAAACTCTTACAATTTTTTTTGTTTTTTTCCTTTCCAAATAATATTCAAGAACAGTCTTAAAAAAAAAATTGATACAATCCCAATTGTAGAAAAATTATTCATGTAAATACATATGTCCCTCAGTTTTCAAGGCTGCTTTTAAGGCTATGCCTTTGCTGTGAAGTTCGAAGGTGAGGAGAGTGTTGGTGGGTTAAAAGCTGAGATAAATTGGAGTTGGAAGAATCCCCACAGGAGAAGTCTGGCCGATCAACAGAATGTACAACACCCTCGCCATTTGGAGATTCTAACTCAACAATCACCTGTAAATATCAATATCCGGTTAGGATTACACTAACACATTTGATTTAGATGAATACAAAGAACATGAGCCAGAAAATGGCTAGAGATTTATATGGATGACTTCAAATATGTAAGAGAGAATCACCACAGTCATGTCCTTCTCTTTTCCTTCCCACACAACACATTCCATTTAGATTGAACTTTTTTTTGGTCAACTTACGTGATCCTCAACTATTTGCACAGGACAATTACTTTTGGTTGCTAAAGTAACTCATACTTGTGCAATATTAAATCCTAAATAGGTGGCGGCCACCATGTCTTGAACCTAAATGTTCTAAACCCTTTATTATTTGTATGGTCTTTTTCTACCACTAGGCCACCAACCCGCGGTGGTTCATTACCCACCCTGCCACCCTGCTAGGAATGCTACTTAGGATAGAATTAAGAATATTAATAGGGTATTGAGAGTATATTAGTAATTAGTTAAAGCAAGTTGTTATGATGAATCGTTATAAATAGAGTGAGGGAGAATGCTTTTTTTTTCTTTTTTTTCTTTTTTTTTGTTATCCAAGTAGCTCAGATACTTGGAGAGTTATATTGTAGTTCCTTTTATCTTTTATATTGCAATGTAGTTGGGTTTTGTCGCAAGGAAAGGGCAATGGACAATGGATCAAAATGTCATACCAGTACATTCTTCCCAACGCGAAGAATCGGAGCAGGAACATATAGGCTGCATTGTGGCCCTACAACCTGCATAATCATCATTGATCAATGCCGGGATGAAAAAGAAACCTGCTACACTGATTAAGACATCCCAAGGATTTGAGATAACATGAATGAAAACACTAGTTTTACCGGCCAAAATCTTCCGAGATTAAAGTCATTCACTAATGCAATCCCTTTAGTCCAGCCAGCAAATGATAAGAATGTATCTTTTCTGAGGTTCACTTTGTCAACGTAGAAATAACCGGTGTAAAGTGTTGGTTCGCTCGAGATGTTATCTGGAGAAGAATAACAGACATACGTAACTTATGCATGCTCATCATTCCTTGCAGAACGACTTGAAACCTTGAGAATTGAAGCACATTTGAGATGAGGGGGGAAAATGTAGCAAGGAAGACGCATAACATCAAATGAAACTTGGAATATTAGGAGAGAAATACTGTGATAAAGAGTGTGCTTCTTGTTCCATACCATGCTTGACTTCTAAACCTCTCTTTGCTGTGATTTTGTTGTGTACAGAACGAGCAATATGAGAGAAAGAATCGACTCTCGGAATCTCATTGAGGTTGTTGAAAGGGATTGGGATCATTTTCCATCCATATAAAATATTGTCGTCCAAATAAACGGATGATAAGATACCCTGAAAAAGCAAGCAAGGAAGATCAGTTATAAAACTAAACCATCAATTTCTTCAGATGTCAAGGGGAACGGGAAAAATGCAGTATTAGTGAGTTACCTTCTTGTCAAACAAGTAGCGTCCATAGTTTATGCGACCCATGTTTTCAACCTGGAATAAAGTGAACATACTAATTAATATACTGCATTAGATTAATCCCATATCAGCGTTTAAGGATGTGCTATAAAAAAAGGTCATCAATAACCATTACTTTCCTACAGGGATATAGAACCATAACCTACCATGATTATAGTTATAGCCAATGTCATTGGATTACATTGTTAAACTAGGATTGATTTGTTTGAGATTACTTTTGCAACACTTCTCACTTGCAGCCACAGATTATTTTATTCAAAATGGAGACAACATAACTATGTAAAAATTTGAACGTAGAGTTTCAACATTTGTACCATATAAAATAACCACTACGATCAAAATTTTAGCTATTGGTGGAGTTTAATCTAGTCATTTGCATTAATTCTTAACAATGGCATAAAAATATTTGGATCAAGAATAAATAAGCTCAATTGTTCATGTTTACCCATTAAGCAACTTATCATCTACAATAACTCTTAACAATAGCATAACAAGAATAGGATAGACAAAAATGAAGCGTAAATTGTTTGTGTTTGTCTATCAAACAATACCACAAAAATAAATAATTCAGAGGGACGTGAGATACTGGTACCAAAATATATAAGTTATTTGAGTCACATCTCGTATTTGGCAGGTTAAGTCGCCGGTTTGACCACCTCTCAATAATGCCAACAGAAGCTGGCCGCACACCCTTGTTTGTAGAAGAGCAAGAAAGGAACACTTGTGCTCGATCATGCACCTGCAAATTCCTGTAGATAAGTCATGCTAGTACAAGCCACGGATCATTCATGAATTTCAAAATGCTGAATCAAGAAGGGAATCAGGACCTGAACAAAGAACATTGTTTCTATACAAATCAAAACAAAACATAAATGATTCAATAATTCTGCACCTTGGGTATAAATAAAACGTGTCCATCTTCATTGTCCTTGGCCACATACTTGGTCGCATATAATAAAAATCCAAAGCTCTGAACAAAAAACATTTAGCTTCTAAGAATTAAGTATTTCAACAACCTTGGCTCATTCAAGACAGGAGTGGCATATTCAAACGCACCTGATCCACAGATTCCATTGACAGTGGTTCTTCAGATATAAACACATCAACAGAATCTATCATATGGATCAGATCAAAAAAAAATGCACTTTTCTGCAAGTAAATCGGTCCATAACCTATCTTTTCAATATTAGAAGGAGCTGATGGAAGCAATGCTCCACTATAGCGCTGTATAACTCTTCGAATCGCTAAAGGCATTAAAACAGTGGAAGTTAGAAATTTGATAGAGCCTAAGTTTGCTGAAGATACCTTGTCACAAGAGTTTTTTCCTGACTACGCCAAGCCCACTCCTCACTCAACTAAATCTAACTAAAAACAGGGACCACTTCCTAGAAATGAAACAAAATTATATGTGAATGACGTCAAGTAACAGGCAAAGAACAATTTGAAAGATAGTTTATGAACCCTATCATTTAATTGAAGTGGGTTGGGGTCAACAGGAGCAACTACTTACCCTTAGTTTTTTTGTTTTTCTTTTTCTAGTACAACAAATGTTAGGTATGGAGACTTGAATCTCCGACCTTAAAAAAATGAATGCAATTACCATTAAGTTGTGCTCACTTTGACCTGACAAGGGGACGGAGTTCTCATTCATTCAAAAAAATGTAAAGAAAAAATTAAAGAAATGGAGGCATTGGAGAAAATGACCATCATATTTAGCATTGTCAATGTCGCCAGATTCCTTAATTGGGGCATCCTGGAAAATATCAGGCGTGAATTAATATTTACAATTCATAACTACGCAGATGAGTAAAAGGAAAAAAAATAAGTGGAAAGGAAAAAGTACAGGAAAATTAAGATCATTCTTACATAATCATAAGAAGTAAGATCAGGCTTGTAATCCAACGCACTATCACCTGTATTTGCTCCATTATAAAATCCAAAATTTGTTCCACCATGAGCCATCTATTATAAAGGAAGGATGAAAAGATTTTTTGAAATGACAATAAATGAATAGCTATAGTTTAGACTTTCCTAGACATACATAAAGCACGGCAGACCCTTGCCCAGCCAAAATTTCTCTCAACGCAGCTGCTGTAGAGTCGGCATCAGTTGTTGCAATATTTTCTCCCCAATGTGTAAGCCAGCCAGTATAGAACTCTCTAAACAGATAAAACTTTAAAGAACTTCATACTTTATTATTAATAAAAAATACGCATATCCGAGCATATAAAACTCACGCAGAAAGAGGTGGAGATTTTCCAGGGGCGTTGAACTCCTTCTGTAAATTAAAAATAGGCCAAGGCCTTTCACCAGTAGAAAAGTCAACAGCTACACAGTGGCAATAAGGTTGGGTGAGGTCAGATACTGGACCAAGGATGATATGGTATATCATTGTACTCCCATAAAACCAATTAACAAGGAAGCAATACTCATTGAAATCCAATATGTAGGTGTCGAGAATTTATTCAACATGGCAAGAAAAATGAGACTCAAGTGTATTTGCATTTTATTCTGACATCTATTACTAACCAATTAAAATTTTAAACATTAAGAAATTGGATACAACGCATGTGAGTGAGCGTAGAATTTGTTTTTAAAACAATGGTTGAAGATCGGTTGTCACAAGAGTAGAGTATTCGTATAAAAAAAATCTAATTTGAGACAGTAAACTTCACAATCTCACAAAAGTCAACAAAATTCGTATGCTTGTCATTGAAGATCTTGTTGTTTCTTTCCTTCTATAAGCAAAGGGAGGAAAGGGGTATTAGTGCAGCTATTTTATGTCCACCCATACACCACAAACTATCTTATTTGGGATTTTAGGACATGAACCAGGCTAGGAAGAAAGATCAATGTTGACAACAATATCCTTGGTACCAATACTGATAGTGAAATACGGAATTGACATCATTGCTATTAGCAGAAAATGCACATGGATTTTTTCAATTCAAAATAGCCAGAAAGGTTCTACTGCCCTGTTTTTAAGTGAATAATTGCTCTACACGACAGAAAATATGGAGAAGAAGAAAATGTATTGGTCGTGTGAGAAAACTAAGCATAGTCTGAATAACTTACCTGAAAAGACAGCATCCCCACGAATGGTTCCTTTCTCAAGAGTTTCCCTAGAACCTCCATCTGTAGTATACCTAAAATCATTTATAGTTTATTGTCAGAAGAACAGTTAGTTTTGGAAGAATGTGGCCAATTTAAAAAGAAAAATTGAAGACAAGCAGACTTCTTTGTTGATATTAGAAATAGTGAAATCTCAATATGCTAGCAGAATTTTGTTCTCATTCACGATGCAGATTTGAATCATGAATTAAGATCTTTTTACGTTACTAGTTCGTAATTGAATTCTGTATTCACAAGAAGAATTACAAAAACGAATATAAGTAAAGTTGTTCAGATCAGAAAGCCACAAAGAGGGAACTAATCTTTGTTATTTTATATCATTTAGCTAAAAGCATTGTTTCAAACAGTGAACATAGCATGGATAATTAAGACAACTTACAGTATTACTTCATTCCCAAGATGGCCTCTCGCCAACTTAACCAAATGGTGAAGGTAAGCTTGATCATCTCCATATGAGCCAAATTCATTTTCAATCTGTCAAAACAGTCCCTCTGGGTCTCTAAGTGCACGTTTACAACCAGAGGATGTTCAAAATTTAAAAAATAAAAAATATTATCATTTGAACCAAGCAAGGTAGAAAACTTGGAATCATATTTTTATGTATTTAGGAATCACGATAGCTTATCCCAAACATTTTCAAGTCATTAGCCATAGAACCAGTAATGAAAAATAACAATAAAACAGAAGTTGCGTCTATAAAATTTGTAATTAGCTGCATCAGGAAATATATACATATGTACAGATAATGCTTGGCCTCGTAACTGCATATAATATATTCTTTCATGAAATATGAGCTTAATATTTTCCACGTCATAATTTCTTTTTTCTCATTCTCTGGAGAAATAAGACGTAGTCAATCATATTGTCTTCAGTTTGCAAGTCTGTTAATTAGATTTAGAAGTATGTGGAAGTAATCATACCCTACATCAGCTATACTAGACCATACAAGACGTATTAGTAGCCAATAAAACCTTAACTTCTATTCCTTTTCTCTTTCGTTTTTTAGTGACAAGAAACAAGTTTAGGGCATGAAGGGTGAAAGAGGACCAGAAGACAACCCTAAAGGATGCCTAAAAGAAAATACAGAATGTTTCCTGTCTTGTAAGATAGTATCTAGAAGGTCCTTGGTAAACAATGTACAAAGACGATCCAGCCAATTTATAAAACAATAATTTTACGTACCTGGACCATTATAATAGGGCCTCCATTGTTGTAAAGAAGAGGAGCTACCTTCGGAAGAATAACCCCCCACCATCTTTCAACCTATAAACAGTTTATACCAAATATTAAGAAAAAGGTAGACTCTTGAAGCGAGGTAGGGTATAAAAACAAATGAAGAGAAAATAATAGGTCAAAACATATACACCAAATAAGCCAAAAAGATACGATATTTCCTTCACATCTTAAGGAACTCAGACCGCAATAAAAAAAAAGTTGTGGACGTAGTTCAATGTACAAGATAAGAGCCTCAGGTAACTATGATTTATGATTGAACTAGTATATTTGATATATTCTAACTCCAATTTTTCTATCCGAATAAAACTAAAGACTATGAAGCATGCATAATAAATCTAAATAAGACGATCATTTCCATAAATGGCTTTCACTTGTTTTACTATAGAAGTTGACATTTATTGAACTATTATGGACAAATATTAAAAAAGAAAAATTGAAATCAACAGAAAGGAAAAATGATATATTACATGTTATCACAGAAGGAATCGAAGTGTGAATAATTGAGGGTCACACTGACCTTTTAACTCGGTAAGAAAGTGGCATGAACCTATGTAACAGCCCACCCCACCGTTAGTAGATATTATCTATTTTGGGTTTTCCCTTCCGGGCTTCCTCTTAAGGTTTTAAAAACGTCCACTAGGGAGAGGTTTCTACACCCTTATAAGGAATGTTTCGTTCCCCTCTCCAACCATCGTGGGATCTCACGACCTAATATACAGTAGGTAGGATTATCTTCCTCTAAAACTTTCCAGCAGTACATATTTTCCAAACAAATCATAAGAACTGAAGTATCTCATAAAAATATTACTGTATCAAAAGAAAAAAACAGGAGAAAATGTCACGCAAAAGACTGGACTTAATGTAACGGCCCAGATCCACCGCTAGCAAATATTGTCCTCTTTGGACTTTTCCTTTCGGGCTTCTCCTTAAGGCTTTAAAACGCGTCTGCTAGGGAAAGGTTTCCATACCCTTATAAATGGTATTTTGTTCTCCTCTCCAACCAATGTAGGACATCACACTTAATTAGGATTTAAAATTCATCTAGGTGTCGTAGATTGAACCTAGACAGTACTCAACTTAGTTGTAAGAGTATAATAAAGAACACATACCCATTGGAGGTAGCCAGGATCTGAGGATCTTAGTGTAGGAGCTGGCTTTCTGGTAAGCAACCAAGCTGGAAAACCCCCTAAATCCCACTCTGCAACAATAAGATTCTTTTTCACTATACAATTGTTGTCAACATTATTACAAATAATCTGGTCATAAATTCAGATAAGCTGTCAGATTATAAAACCTTCGGCCGTAATTAGATTTTATATAGAGGTAACATACCCTTTTAATTTAAACAAGCAGTCATGGATTCAAAAACCCTTGGCTGTAATTAAATATTGTATATCTTGTGAGTATTCATATAACAATCAGTCGTAATAGTATCAGATCAATTCTAACCCCAAAGGGTATTGAGGGATTCAAGAAATCTTTTAGTCTCGCCCAAAAATAGTTGTATATCAAACCAGTATCACTTTTTTTATTAAAAAAAATAATAATAAATAAATAAAATATAATCAGAATGCAAGCAGATAGAAAAACCTATAGCTAAAGAAGTCAGGATGGGCAATGATCAAAAGGCTGCCTGCAGATAACGAAAAAAATAGGTTGAATGAATTCCCTAAAATATGTACAAAATACTCTGGTGTCACAAGAAAGAAAAGACGCTCCTTCTGATGAACCAAAATGAAAGTTTGAATTGTTTGAAGAAAAATTAATGACAATGAGAGTGTACCTGCACATATATAAGGCCCTGCCCGGAGCAAAACTAGAAAATCTAGCTTCTGACAGAGTTGGATAAACGACACTATGTCTGCAATCCCACTAAACGTGAAATTTCCCGGTTGTGGCTCATGCAGATTCCAGGGGATGTAAGTTTGGATCGTGTTTAAGCCCAATGCCTTTGCTCTAAGCAGTCTATCTTCCCAGTACTGCAAGCGTAACATCATGTCACATAATAAAAAGTCATGCAAGAAAATAAAGTAAACTACATGAAAATAGAGAAAACTTTAAAGTTCTGGATCATTCAGTCAACAACTATATGCTAGAAGATAGATATTGATAGCTACTTTCTATTAATTTCACTAACATAAATGAAAATGTTGAATAAGAGCCTCAACTTCTTTTCTCACATGCTGATTGTAACTATAATAATCGTTATGCCCAAGTTAGTGGAAGAGAGTCAACAGTTTTGCTAAACATATTTGATAAATCAAAACCTTATTTCTGCCTTACAACTTCATTGCCCTGCTTAAAAGTATTGTGTCAAAATGCATTTCTGTGTAGTCTGACCAAAAAGTCAAGAACGACATATTAAAGATGAAGTTATAAACTAAAATAAATTCATAGAATGCCCATCGCAGAGAGCATTTCCATCCATGCCATATTATTACTTTACTACCAGGAAAGGAAATAAGTGCAGAATAAATACCTCAGGAAGAGTTCGGAAATAATGTATGTCGCCACCAATAATCTGGAATGGCTTGCCATCTTTCCAAAACATGTCATCGTCAATCTCAAATTTTCTAGTATGAACCTGATACAAATTACAAATTAGCCGAATGCTTGAGAAAATGTAAAACATAAGTGCGAATGTGATCCAAATTCCAGAAAACCAGGACAGTATTCTAAAAGGTTCGTTAACACTTGCTTCTCAAAGGGATGAAAACACCTGGAAATTATTCCAATCCAATATCCAATCTTCCAACCAAACCGAAATCTATTCTTGACTTCCTCATAATCACGATAGAACACAATGCGATAGAATAAACCCAATTCAAGTTCAGTATTGAGCTAATTTGGGATTAGCCAAAAAGGCATACCCAAGGACTTAAAAAATGAAAAAACAATTAATAGATGCTACTGATCTAGATGAATTACAGCTCGAATATTAAAGCTAATAGGAAACATTAAATACTATATCGCGGGAAGAAACAGACCCAGTTAGCTTCAAACTGAGACATTCAAGCATTCGAATGAAGAAGAATTACTAACAAAACAAAACCAGGTATCATCAAGGAAGAAATTGGGTATTAACAAAGACACTAATGATGGAGAAAGAGAGTGGAGGTACCTTCTTGAGCTCGGAATGATCTAGGTGATGGCGGAAGAGACGGTGGGAGTGGGAATTCAGTGAAGGAAGAAGAGCAAACACTGGAACAATCACTCCAAAAGCTGTAAGCAAGATGAGGATGAGGAAGATCAGAGAAGCTCTCACATGTGGTCTCTTCGCCATAGCTGAATGCTTCGAACTGTAACTCATTCAACCAAGTCTTTATTTGCTTTTTGGCTCGAATTCGATCATATGTTAATCTTCCAAATTTGTTTAATAGATCATAGGAAGATAATGTATTGATTTAATCAAGAAGAATGTATGATTTTTTTAGTTTGATAATGTACTGTCGATGATTTTCTAGTTTGGTTTGAATTTGTTTAACATTGTTAAACGATTTTGTGATTTGATTTGTTATTAAATCTATAATTTTATGGTTAATTTTCGAATCTAATCGCATATTTTTAAAGTTTTAAAATATAAAAAAATTCAATAAAATTGAAATTTTATGTTTAATGATTTTTTGACAAGTCAGCAAAATTAAAACATTTTAATTTAATATCTTTCTTAAATCTTCGCTTGTTAAAAGAATTTTGGGGTGAACTTAGAATTTCAAGGAATATTAGGAGGATGGGTGAAATTATGAAAGTTGAGGGAGTAAATTGATATTTTAAAGAGTTTAGCGCTATTTAATCATATATATATTCAAGCCGCGGCGGGTCTAACGTCCGTCGTTGTCGATTACTTCTGAAGTTCTGAAACTAAGGGTTTTAGGTGAATCCAGAGAGGCGAGAACAGCTTTCTATCGATCATCAATGGCGGATGATGATTACAATGACGTTGACATGGGGTTCTCTCTTGCTCCTTCTATCTATCTATTTGAATATATTTTTGTCGAATCTTTTAATGCTACTCCTGTCAATAGGTTAGGAAATTTGTCAAATGCTGAACCCTAATTTCGAAACTAAGTTCGTTATTTCAAGTTCAAGATGCTGCAGTTAGGATTTGGAATAGAATTTGTTAGGGAGATGCTATCACGCATCAGAACCAAACTTGATTGTTCGATCGATTTTGCATCAGTCCGATTTTCTGTAGCTGTGAGCTTGAACTAGGAACTTAAAAGAGTTGTGTATGCAAGCACATGATTTTCTGGCCGCCTAACAGCTCACAATATCAAATTTTAATGTTTAAGCGTATGGAATTAGGGGCTCCTTACATATTCAATTAGGGTTTAAATTATTGACTTCTTTTTCACTCCGAGGCGTGGCTGCTGGAAGGATGTTCTTATTTAAAATTTCACCTTTTTATTTTTACCTTCATTATCTGATACCAAATGAAGGTTTGTAATTTGGCGGAATCTACAGCTTAAGCCTCGGGATATGAAAAGATGTTTACGTACTTATGCTTGATACTTGATGCTTATGTTCGTAAGAATTATGTTTTAGTGAACAACTTTATCTTATAGGGGTTTTGCTTATTTGTTGGGAAATACACGTCTTCTTCATAGTTAAAAGGAATTCTAGTGACCTTTATCTTTGCAATGGATTACTGTGCCTCAGATTCAAGCTTGTGCTTATTTGAGTTAATAAGTTTTATTAATTATGCAAAACGTACACAAGAAAAGCAGATAAATGACGTATAGTTATAAAAATCTATGGGCGTGGACTTGAAATCCAACTCTTGGGGCTACGCACAATTGTTTGCTATTTGGTGTAAATTTACTAATATTCCATTCTTAGCTTGACCATACTGCTATAATCTTGTTTTGTGAAAGGCCTTTATATTTTCATCTTGGGTGATTGGAATGTACAAATGTCTTTCAACTCTTATATTAATTAGTGTTTTTTGCTGCAGATATGAAGATGAGCCACCAGAGCCTGAGATGGAGGTAACAAATAATTTGTTTAGTTCTCTATTGGGAAGAATGTAGATAACTGTTCTTTTTTAAGTTGATTAATTATAGTGGAACTGTGGATGATGTACAGGAAGGAGCTGAAGAAGAATTAGATAACAATAATGCCGATGATGTTCCTGGTGAACCTGTTGAAGCAGAGGATAAGGAAGATGAAGAACCTATTGAACGTGTGCGTAAAACCTCAAAATTTATGACGAAGTACGAACGTGCTAGAATTTTGGGTACTCGTGCCCTCCAAATCAGGTTCTCTTTTTTTTACATTTGTTACATCCAAACTTTTACATGCATCAAGTTGATAAATGTTCTGATGATTCTTTTTCCTTTTGGGCAGCATGAATGCTCCTGTCATGGTCGAGTTGGAGGGTGAGACTGATCCACTTGAGGTTAGACTTTTAAATGTTAAGATAAAATCTTTGAAAAGCCTTCTTTTGGCTTTGGCATTCTTTAGGTGTATTTTAGTTGTATTACATGGTTAGTACGCCTACTCAAAAGCAAAATGTTAATCTAAATCGTACAAAGCTGACCCTGGGGGTTAAAATGAAGCCTCTCAAACAATAGGGAATGACTGAAAACCGATGTCAAAGCTTAAAGGAAATTTCCATCAAGATGTTTACCAATTCAATCAACCCGTGCTTAACCAAAGAAATATGTTGGATGCCATTCATGGGTTTGGCTTACTAAGTTTCTTGAACTGATATTATTGTTTACAGTTCGTGATATCTCATTCTTTTCTAGCGAATGAGGATTTATGCTTGTCAGTCTTGAGTGCTTTCCACTTTTTTGGTTGGTTTGGAATTATTCTCTGACATCTCATCTCATCCTTTGCTTGTCTTAGATTGCAATGAAGGAGCTTCGTGAGCGGAAGATACCCTTCACCATTCGTCGCTACCTGCCAGATGGAAGGTTAGGCTTCTTAGATCTTTTATTCTTTGTTTTTACAGAAACCTTAATTTGTCGGTTTTGAAAAAACCAGAATAGTTTTCTTCCCCATGTCTCCCCGGGGCTTGAACTGAACCAACTATATGAGTTTAAAACTAGTTTTTGAGGGGAAAAAGAATTCCTTCTGAGGTTTAGTTTTTGGACTTTTTGGAAACCAAATGAAATCAAACATTCCAGTTCTCTGTAGGCTAAGATAAAATGCTAAATCATGGAACTGTCTCTTCATTTTTGGCGCAGTTATGAAGACTGGGGCGTTGATGAACTTATTGTGGAGGATTCTTGGAAGAGGCAAGTTGGTGGCGCTTGATCTAATCCTTAGTTGTGTGGCTGTCAGCGTATGTGAGATAATAGTTTCAACTGCATGGCGATTAGAGCCCCATGGTCCAATACAGTCATCTTTGAACGGTGAGATGGTTGCTCGCCATTATTGTTTTGTTATATAACTATCTATAGTATATTTGGAAAGAACCACTAATGGCAAACATTCTTTACTATTTTAAAGCATGCCATTAAAACTAAACTTTCATTAGTCAGTAGCTTTTTTACTCTTCAATTGTTCTTTCTAACCTGTCATTAGAAAATGCAAACAAAAAGAGTCCGAACTTTTTATTGCTCAGTTCAAACAATGCTTTCTTGTTCCATTAGCTTGGAGCAAATTTTTAGAAAAAAAGAAAGTTTACAAATTTTTATGAGAACGTTAACCACATGGCTAGGCTGAGCCTGCTGGCTGATACTAATCGTTTATGTTTTTCAATGTGTTAAGCATAGATTACAATAGATGATACATTTGAAAGCACAAGAGAAGTACCGAAAGAAACGCTTTGGGGGTTCGTTTATGAATGTAATACATAAAAAGAAATGAAGATTTTCTTTTTTGAATTTTTTTTGGACAATAACGCTCATTTTAACATTAATCATTTCAACATTAGCACGTTAATTTTGATTCTCAATAAATTTACTAAATTAAATAGAAAAAAAGGGTAAAAAGAGGAAACGAAAATCTCTCCTTTTAAGGCTGCACCATTCACATGTGGAGGCGTATCAGTGGCCATATTTTAGTTGCAGCTCAGCATTTTGTTTCGTCTGTAGGTGCCACTATTTTTCATAACGAGACTATGAAATGAAAGTGAACATTCACCAGGGCAGTTCCTTAGTTGATCTTTCGGACAAAAATGCACAATTCACGTTAAACTAAACGGATTTAAGATAAAAATAGAGTAACAGGAAACTAAGGTAGTTGCCAAGGTTGTTTTTAGAGTTTCCATGTCAAATGATTAAACTTGGAACCATGGAACGAAAGCCCCAAAGAGCAGTGCTAAATCAGCGAGGAGTTGACAGAGAGCATCTCCACATCCAGCAGTACCAACGGCGGGGAGCTTTCATCGAGGCATTCAAATCAAATGATGCACAGCAAAGCCACAGATTACGAGGGGGAAATAGGGAGGGAACAAAAAGGACCCAACTACTTCATCAGATTTATCATCCTGTACAGTTTTCTTAACCATATTTCGGGAAAGGGCCCAACAATGCCAGCCAAATTATGTTAGTCAAGCCTTCCAGACATAACCCAAATCCTCGTCAAGGTCATTGTTCATAAACCCATTTTCAGGGAAATCTTGGCCTATATCTTCTACCAGACCCTCGGGCAGAGGAAGATCTTGCTGCAAATCAGAAGCCTTCTGATTGAATCCACTGTTACCAGCCGAGGACTCGTTATTTGAAGCAGCTTTGAAGCTATTGCTTCTACTCGGGCCAGGGGCATTGCTCCCAGCTACAACTGATGTACTATTGCCCACAAAACTCATACCCCTTCTTCCCAAACTTCTATTTGCAATTGGTCCGGTCAGGGGCTGCTGTTGTGCACCACCACTCTTACTGTTACTTGATATCTGCAGTAGTTGTTGGATCATCTGTTGTTGTATGGCCTGGCTACCTTGAATTGTCTGAGGATGATTTTGTTGGACCAAGGAGCCAGTATTCGGTGGATGCTGCTGCAGCTGCTGCGATTGCTTTTGCAAGGTTTGCTGAACGCTTGAAAAGCCACCGACAGAGGAGTTCTGTATAGATCCAGGCATCAAAGATGCAGTCCCATGGAGTGTAGGGGATGGATTATAGTTGGCATTATTGAAAGAAGACGAGGCCTCCTGTTGGTGTGGGCTCGGGTTGGAATTCATAGAGCTTTGTCTCATGAGCATATTCTGGTATGTAGTCAGTGCCAAAGCGGCTTGTGAACCACTCATACCTCCTCGACCAATCATTTGATGGTTGTTAATCCCATGATTATCAAGCTCAGAATGCATTGCCATCAGCTTATTCATTGTGTTGCGATCTGTGGGAAGACCTTGAATGCTTGCTAATTGCTCCATCTCCTGCATTTTCTGAATCTGGAGCTTGGCTGCAGTGGCATGTCTGGGATAATTTTTCAAGCCCTCTGTAAAAATATCAAGTTCCAACATGTAATAACAGAAAACTCGAGTTATTCATCCCCCTCCACCCACACACACAACAAAGAGGGGAAAAAAAAAAGGAAAAGAAAAATCAGAGAACAGAGCACTGAACAAAGATAGGAGGACCAAGCAATTCAGATGTGAAAGAAAATATCGTCCATCAGAAAATAAAACATACCCGCAAAATAGACTATTCAAACGTTTTGAATCTCAAAAATTATGATACATTTCATAATAGATATTAATATTGTATCGTTAGGCTTTAGTTTCCAAGCTTACATCAAATTGAAGTTGAAAATCCCTAAATGCATTTGTATATGGAAATTCGAAAGGTGGGATTCTTATACAACTAACCCGCAGGTGATGTATTTGACTAACGAAAGGAACGAGCAGAGTGGAACTGAGAGAGAAGTAAGATACACGAGGAAAACTGGTTTTTTTCAATTTCAAGCTAGGTCAGGGGAATCTGGCTGATTTTGTAGCGAAATTTGATTTGGTGAATACACTCTTACCAAACAGATGTCTCTACGTAACGCTAGTAAGTTGTAGCTTAGATAAGAGAGATAAATCCATATTTCAACCAAAAATAATTGGTTCACAAGTTGTCATTTTCAGTATGCTAACAGCCTACTCTCTTTGAAGCCAAACCTAGTGAAAGTGATGATTAAAAAAAAAAAAAAACGTCAAACAAACCACAGTTTAGAAAAAAAAAAAATATATATTTTATAAACCTAAATACGTAATTCCAATTGAAAGAAATTTAATACGAAACCGCTACAATATCTATAGAGAATCACAGTCGATCATAACTAAGTTGCAGAAGATGAGGATACAGGAGCATTACCAATAGGCCCAACTTTTTGATCTCGGCAGAAGCCAATCAGATCTTTCATTCTGTTGACAACCTCTGATATCTGATAATATTTTGAGATTTTAACAAAATTAACACTGTGGGAGTGAAATAAAGAAAACAGTTCTCCAGTAATGGCTTTTAAGAAATGCATGAAGTTACCTGCAAGCATCTCACGTATCTTTTAGAGAAACCCAAGTCATTCAGCAACTGCAACTCCAGACTTTTAGCAAGCTGACGACCAGCCGTCAGTACCCTAAGAAATCAACCACATTACTGTGTTAGTACACATCCAGCTGCACAATGAGTTGGTCGCCAGCCCTGTCACTCGATATGAATTGATAAAATGTCCAAAATAACCTTCCTATTAAGGGCAGACGGACATCAACAAAAGATTGTGCTATTATCCCTAGAAGTTTTACATACATTAAATAGACAGAACATGGTGTCAGAAGGTCAAGTCAAACCCCTGTACACCTAAAACCATAGGGACGAACAACTCACATATTGCTATTTGCCTGCAAATCTTTCTGAGAGACACCATCAGGACCACTTTCAGCAATTGTGCTTTGGCTTTTCTGGGCAACCTGTAACAGCTGATTCACCTGCAAAATAAAAATATCTCGTTGAATTACAAGTATTTTTTCCATCTGAAAGACTTACAAGAATGTAACTGATTTTGTTTAATCAAATTCTTATCTTAAAAGTAAAAATAGAAAGCCAATCTCGAAGGTAAATAAATAAAAAAAAAATAAGAGGAAAGAAGGATAAGTAACAAGACAACACGAAAAACTGAAGTTTAAGATAGCTTTTAGAAGGATAGTATTATAAGATGGCTGAAAATAAGAAAACTGAAGAAATATCACAACGATGTATCCATGTAATTAGTTACAGAAGAACGGGTAGGCAGACATAATATGATTTAAAACATGAAAATAATATATAAAAGGCAGTCTGAACTTTTTTATAGCCAACCAGGGCCGTGCTATGGTAAAATTTGGAAGGGTTTCATTGCTTAGCAGTGAACTAAAAGTATCTTCCTACGCTTTTACCCTATCTCTCTTTTGTGCATAGAAAACCAAGCATGCTCTTCATCTGTATAAAAACTCAAATGAAATAGATTGCCCACGCCTAGCAGCAAAAATAACTTGAAAAAGACAACAGTCCACTCCATATTACTTTTATTCCAAGTAGAGGTTTGATAAGGTTCAAAAACAATACCTGAGGTGCAACCAACCTACGTGGAAGAAGTTCTTCATGACGCCGTGCACAAAATTCCCAAGACAAAATCTGATGATTACATTTACATTAGGCTAGTAACGATTAAATTAGCTGAAAATGCTGGTATGAATTAGCAATATATAAACCTTCAAGTCTTGTGTGAATATGATACGAAGATGACCCTCACGAACAACACGAAGTTGCTCATATACACTCTCTTGAATTGCTTTTCGATATTCTAACATCATAATTCCAGAAGGAAAGCTCCTTTCATGTGGACGGTCCAGAAATAAAAGCTCATCCATAACTCCACTTCCAAATTTGATCTCGTTGAGTCTTGGGAGAACTTCAAATGTGGCCTCTTCAATTCAACTCGTTAGCATGATAGCAAAAAGTTAGATCTGGAAAGAGACCAGAGTGCTAAAACCAGCATTCAAGAAGTTCAAGTTAAAAAATTATAATTCATGTGCTCAGCTTCAGTTAGTAATTCAAAGTGAAGTATTATGGTACATAACTTACCAGTCATTGGGAATTATGCAAAACATTTGTTTTCGTCACTGAGTCCATAAAAAAAATTAAGAACAGAAGGGACAAGAATTAGAAAGTAAGGAATCTAAATGAAATAGTTTTTTACATGAGAAGAAATAAACAATTTTTTTTTTATAAGAAAGATATGCCGACCCAAATGATTTCAGCTAATAGTGGAAGTAAAGATTTAACTTATAAATCCAAATAAGACGCTACATAATTAGCTAGTTCTAAGCATCAATGAATGTCAAATAGATCATGCTGGCATTATCTAAGAATGTAGATAGCTTTATGGATAGAGAACAGGTCCAATATGTAGAGATCATGTACACTTATGTACATGCGCGGGGGGGGGGGGGGGGGGGGGGGGGGGGGGGGGGGGGGGGGGGGGGGGGGGGGGGGGGGGGGGGGGGGGGGGGGGGGGGGGGGGGGGGGGGGGGGGGGATTAAGCTATGTTCCTTTTTTTTCTTGCTGATTGTTTCTCTATTTATTTTTATTTATTTTATTTTTATTTTTTTTGGGGGGTGCGGGGGATGTTGGAATTGGTCGAAAACAATATCTATCAAGGTCTCCAACATTCCACCGTGTGAAAATCAAATAGAAGATTGCTTTCTTCATCCTTACCAAATCCCCTTCCTGATTTGGAGCCACAGATGTCGCAGTGCCACGCATCCTGAAATCAATAAAAACGTATGTTCAAGGGAAGTTCACAACAACACAAAAATGGCAGACAGCTACAATGAATTGAAGCGAATGGGAAATAGCATTACTAAAGTACAGACAGCAATTGAAATTTGAAACTAATAAATGTGACTGCAGTACTCATAGCATTTAGATTTCTAGAGTAAAGAAAGAGATATTCAAGACTTAAATCTAGATATATTATCAAAGAATTGTTTTGAAATGTGAATGTGGAAAAAGTAACCACATTAAATATGAATAGACGATCCTATCTTTTCATACCATTTAGCAATTAAAAAATGTAAAATATAATTGGGCAACTGATAATATTAGCAAAAAATATCGCAAATGTATGAACTGACCATAGCTGCCTGGGGAAACACACCAAGAGCATGGTGGCCAACATTCTCGTACAATGACAAGCACCATCTTTTCTTCGCACGAGGAGAGTAATACTCTGCCACAAACTTTCTCCAGTAGGCTATACTATTCTCCTATAAAACGTCAATAAGAGAAAAGGGAAGACAAAAATAAATAGTTAAATGAAGCCAGGAAGAGATACAATAATTAGAAAACAAAGAGAACCAAGTGAAAAGGGTAGGTAACATGGATGAATATAGAATTTTAAGAATGATATGATAGAACGAGAGAAGATAACTCACAGGAGGCCTTTGCCGCTGATGATATAAATATTGCATCATCCGACGAGAACAAACACCACCATCAATTGGGCGCTTCATGGGTGATACTGGCTGCATTGCCTGCGGTTGTTGCAATTGCTGCCTCAACTGTATCTGCTGCTGCTGCTGCTGAAACTGAGCTCTGTACTGAGGTAGAGACTGCAAAATCTGTTGCTGTTGTCGCATTCTTTGTTGTTGAAATAAAGCTTGTAACTGCGAGTTACTGTTTTGCAGATGCATGGAATCCTGTCTCTGAAATAGCTGCTGCAAAACTTGCTGTTGCAGCACATCTTCCTGCTTTATATCCAGTCGTGGTTTCTTCTGCATCTGAGAATAATTATTTGGATCTGGAATGAAAGACACCTGAAATTTTGCACCCAGGGGAAGTGGTACTTGGCCTATTTGTGATGTTGGAAATGATGTGGCATGTGAAGCACCTTGCTGTGCCTGTTGCTGAATGTGTTGGACATTTTGGTCCTGTTGAGAATTTTGCTGCACCACGCAGGATCCATCTATAACTGAGGAACCGGACACACTAATGTTATTTGAATTGAATGACATAGGCGATGCAGGCAAGCGCATGTATGACTCCGTATTGATGCTTGCACTCCTTTGCAAATGTGGCCCTCCTGAAAGCGAAGAGTTTGCATCAGTAACCAATGAACTTGCACCCACACTGGGTCCTGAATTTGCCACACTGTTTAAAACTGCATTATTCATGTCTCCGGAAACTGGACCAAAATCAGAACATCCAGTTCCTGGAATTGAACTCGATGAATTTGCAAATGATTGGCTCAAGTGGGAATTAACAATAGCTGAAGACTGCCCTTCTCCTTGGTAGAAAATCCCAGAACTCGATGAAGACTGCGCTAATCCTCCAGCCAAACGAGAAGATGCCATTGAAGCCACCACCCCTTGGCGGCTAGCGTCTAGGTAGCCAGCCAGACCTCACCAAAATAGACATTCTGACATTCACAAAGATAGAAAAACTATACCCACGAGAAAGAAACCCAGAAACCGCCCACAAATTCCTCATGTCAAATTTTATAAGAAGAAAATGTGAACAATATCATGATTCCACTTGAAACGTTAAATATAAAGTATCTGAGCCTTTTGACCTTGAAGCCGGGGGAAAAAGAAAAAGTAAAATAAATCAAGCTCTATCAAGACCACTTGAGGCGCAGGGCTATTGAAGTTTCAACCGTAAGCCGCAAGGATCTGTAAGGAAAGGGAAGGAAAAAAAAAAAAGAGTTAGTAGATGAATGAGAAAATGAGAGAAGCTAAATTCAATTTTAACGATTTTGAAAGCAATCTCTTACATAACCCTAACAACTTGCTCAAAACCAGACAAATTTCCCGTCCGACTGACGAAACCCTAAATTAGCTATACAAGAAATAAACTCCGGCAGAAGACTCACGATTGAAATTAAACTCAAATACGGCAAACTACATCCTCTGAACTTACCAAAAACAAATTAATCCTAATTTCTCATCGTTTAAGAATTAAAAACAGTGATGCAACAGCAACTCAAATCGAACATGAAAACACTCCCTCCCTCCCCTGCTCAGAGTAAAGAGGGGGGGGAATGAAGAACAAACCAAACTCAGTAAATTAATCAGCTCAGCATCAAATTCCCGACCTAAACACAAGCCGAACATGAACATCGACTGATAAAAAAAACCAAAAACAGTGAGCTTTAACAGTGTCTGAGAGATCAAATCATGGAATCCAATGAATCGAATAGAGAAGCAGAACAAGAAAACTTGAACAAAATTGTAACAATGAAGAGAAAGCAGCTAAGATTCGAAACCTTTGAGAGCTTAACAGAACAGAGAAAGTCGGCTCTTTTTTTTTTTTTTTTCTTGCTTAATTTGGAAACCTGAAATTTCATACAAAAGAGGAGAAAGAGAGACTTGGAGGATACTTGTGTTATGTAGTGAAGCGTAGATAGCGGGAATTGCAGCGAGGGAGTTACCGGCTGCATTGATAAACCAGTCATCTGTCACCGACTACTCCCGGTCAATCTCGAAACACGTGTCGTCGCAGTGATCGAGAAACGTATACGATGCCCGATCTGGCGGTGACGAAACGAGGTTGGTTACAACGTGGCAGGCTCTCATTGGTCTGTTTTGGGGACGCCTATGATGGGTTTTGGAGATCTTTCGTCACCGTTATTCTTTAGAAGGGAAATAATCAGGCGCATTAAAGCCTATCCAAATTGAACATCCCCCGTTTGCCACCTCATCGATGTAAGGACATTTTTAGATTTTCGAAAACATGTAGGGGCCATTTTGTCTTTTCGTTCTAACATTATACAACGTGTCCCTCATTTATTGGTTGGAAGTATGAGAATCCATGTGAGCGTAGACTTTCGACGCTGGTGATATTACCAATCACGGTTAATAAAGACCACGTTTAATTCGATTCTATAATAATTAAATTAAAATATTAATTTTACACCGGCTAATTTCATTTCATTCACATTTCCCCCCTAAAGTAGGTATTAAACATGTGAATAAATTATATAATTAAACCATAGAAAGATAAAAAAAAATAAATTAGTTATCATTTTAATTTCATAATCATTTTTTAAACTTTAAATTACTTTAAATTTCTTAATTACTTAAATGTCGGTAACTAATACTCAACGAAGGTTTAAAACTCACTTATTTAAAAAGTACTAATGTATTCTCTACCACATGAAAATAGCAAGTTTATGAAGCTAATATAGTCATATCCAACCTCAATTTATCATTACTCGAGCAAGACATGTCTAGAACATAGTTCATGATTGACACATGACATGTTTCGTTGGACAACAAACCAACATATGAACTTGGGAGGGTCAGAGAAAGGTAACACGAACCACCCTATTTGACATTTGACAATACATGCTACACTCTAACACTAGACATAACCCATGCTCGTACTTTTGTATTGATATCATTATTAGGTTGTACTTGAAAAAATGAACGAAAACTTAAATAATTTATATATAATTATGAGTAAATAATTGATAATATTTTCAATTATTTTAAATAAGCATTTAAAAAGGAAGGGATATGGCCTACCACAAAGGTTATTATTGACCATCGGAGGCACTAATTTTGATGTTTAGAAAGCAAAAGCAACCATTTGTCCTTTTATGTTTTTTGAACAATAAAATTCAAATTAATAATTGGTTTTAAAACAAACTCCAAGATGCTTTTAACAGCCTTTTATAATGTAAATTTTAGAAGAACAATGAACAATACAATATCATAATCTATCCATTTTGTAAATATATCAATCATATATGTAATACATAAAGTTTGATGTAAACAATTGAATGCATATTGAGTTTATAATATGGTATAAATATATAAATTTCATTTGAACATTAATTATTAGGTGTGACAACAAAAGTAAACCCATAAACCAAAATTAGAAAATAATAATGTTTCCCACTTTGCTTTATAATAATAAAGTAAGGTTGTACATTTACATTAGGGAATATTAATGTACATAATAAAAAAGAAAAATAGGTGTAGAGGAAACAAGGGCCATGGCTTATTTTTCTTTTTTTTTTTTCTTGAGCTTTTTGTGTGAAGGAACGAAAGGATTCTTTGACATATTGTTTGATTCCTACAAATCAACCGAAGTTACTCATATCTCCACAAATCAATACACGTCCTTTTCAACAACTAAGAAGTCAATTGTAACAGCCCAAGCTCTCCGTAGGAAATATTGTAGTATCGTTGTTAGCCTCATAACTTAAAAACACGTCTACTATGGAGAGAGTCTAGCCTTATTCCGACTAGTCTTTTGACTGAGTTTGATAAATGTATGTTACAATAAGATCCCAATTAATTGGTATAATAAAATAATAATTAAAAAAAAGAGCATAAGGTTATGATATATGCATTCATAGTTCTAGGTTTGCATTATCGAGGCTCCAAGTTAATCATATTGTTGGCTACCAACAGATCTCAACAGAAAAAGAGAGATTCCTGGATTTTATGAATTTAATATTCTAAAAAATACACGAATATTTTTGTTTTTTGTGACCATAATTTTTTCACCATTTCCTAAATGTAAGCTTTTTCAATATTTATTTATTTATTTTCTTATTTGTTCGCAGTGCTTTTTTAAGAATAGTACATAATAAAGCAAAATTTAATATTATATTTCTATAAAAACCATATATATATATTTTTTATATTTATTAAAAGATAGTAACACATAATTTTTTTTCGCTTTTAATTTGAAATAATAGAAATTAATCTCACTACAATTAAACAAAGTTAAAGATTCGAACCCTCATCTTAAGGATTGTGTTAGATGAAAGTGTCCCACGTCACGTCGGTTAATTTAGAGAATAGTCATGGGTTTATTATCAAATAATACACTCTCCACTTTTGGGGAAGCCCAAAGCAAAATTACGAGACTTTATACTCAAAGTGGACAATATTATACCATTGTGAAGAGTCGTTAATCTAACATGGTATCAGAGTCATGCCCTAAACTTAACCATGTCAATAGATTGACAAATCCTCAAATGTTGAACAAAGTATTATGAGCGTCAATGTGGACAATATCGGATTTGAACTCCCTTCATAATCTTATGTTTTTTCATAAATTGCAATTTGATTATAATTCTTAAACCAACCCGAAGTGATTATGAAACTCTGTAGAAAATTAATCGCGAGTCCAATTGAAGTGATTTGGATTGAGCAGGGAAGTGTCCGGCCCAATGATCCTCGGTGGAATTTAAGAGAAATGTTTCTAATGGAAGTCAGTTTTCTCGATTGCCAAACGGGGAAAGATAATGAGCTGCACAATTCTCTCTCCCGACCCGTTAATTCGGTTGTCATCCACTCCCCGATTTCGCGCTAAAAACGGGTCGAAGAGTCCAGTGATTACTGCTCGTCTTGACGATTCTAAGAACTCGCCCAATCGCCAACTCAATCTCTCTGTTCTTCGCTTCACACTTGGTATCTCTTTTTCTTCCTCTGTTGTAAATGGGTAATTTCTGAAGGAATTTGATAACATTTCTTTCGAATGGGTTTAGGGATTCCTGGATTGGATGAGTCTTACTTACCCAGATGGATTGGTTATGGATTTGGCTCGCTTCTGCTTTTGAATCACTTTGTTGGTTCGAGTTCAGCTGCTCCCATCACCTCAGCACAGTTAGTAAGCAATCACAGTTTTCTGGGAACGCCTTTGCTTTTAGGTTCTTGTTGGGGCTTTCATTATTTCTGTTATTTGATGTGTTTTTTTTTTGGTAGAGAACTGAGGCTTTAGGCATTTCCTTGGCTGCATTTTCTATTGCACTCCCCTACTTGGGAAAGTTTCTTGAGGTAACATACGAGATATTACATTGTTGACCTGATTATACAGTTATTTTTTTAATGTTCTTCTTCTACTTGCTGGGAAACTTCCGTTAATCTCTGTAAGAGTGTGGAAAAAGGAGAATTCGAGGGACTTGAAACTGCTGGCTCGTGTAGTACTTAAAGATCAAGTAGGGATTGTGATGGAAAATAAGAGACTGGGACGGGGGGGTATATATATTTGATGGATCTTGTTAAAAGAGAATGACCTTAACGATGACTGGAGAGCCTACTGAAAGCTTTGCTATCAAAGTGTCCTGATTAGATTGAGATGAACTTTTATGTGACCGGATTTGTAGAATAAAATTGTATCCCTTAAGAACCGGATGGGCATCTAACTCCTTCATTCAGGCTCCACTTTGCTCGGGGGATATAGCTCAGTTGGTAGATCTCCACTCTTGCAGTTGGGTCGTTGCGATTACGGGTAGGATGTCTAATTGTCCAGGTGATCGATTTCGGTTGGGTGGATGCCTAATGAAAATCCTATCTAATAAGTTCAAAGATGCTTCACCTGTTCAATCCAACTCTTCCCAAAGTTGATCCAACCTCCCTTGAATTTGAATAAGATTGTCATTCTAACCCTGATGGTTTTCTAGACATTCTATGTGTAGCGTTCATCTCGGAATCTTCTTGAAGAGTGAAGCTCTCTTATTCGTCCTCTATCTTGCGTAAATTTCTTTTCTAATGTCTTGTTATTGTTAATTCAATTTGGCTCAAATGTCACCTCAGATCTCTTTATCTAGCCTTCCGTCTCTATCCGCTAGCAAATATTGTTCTTTTTGGGCTTTTTCTTTCGGGCTTCCCCTCGAGGTTTTTAAAAAGGTGTGCTAGGGAGAGGTTTCCACACCCTTATAAAGAATGCTTCGTTCTACTCTCCAACCGACGTGGGATCTCACAATCTATCCCATTCGGTTTCAACAATTCTCCTCTCCAACCAATGTGGATCTCAAATATTTGCTAAGACCATACAAAAAAAAGAAGTCTCACCACCTCCTTATATAAGATGTTCTCACATTGTCGACGAAGCCATTATCACTTTTTTGTTCTACATTCTAGCATCATACCATTCCATGAGTTGCTGGCTTGCGTATTAGAGTAACTTCATCAGGCACCTTGTTGATGTCTAGTTGAAGCATTGGGACTTTTGCTTGCAGGGTGCAGTTCCATCTGGCGAAGCTACCCTCCCTGAAGGGGCTGAGCAAATATTTGTTTTGTCACAAAATGTATCGGATAATGTGAAGGATGACTTGGCTTGGGCAACATACATCTTGCTGCGCAATACAAACAGTATATCAGTGGTATAGTATCTCACCAATTTTTGTTGTTAGAGAACACGCTGTGTTCAAAAGATTAAATTATTTAGCTTCCCTTGACACTCTCTAAATTGTAATTTTTGCATTTATCTTTGGAATCAGTTAATACTGATTCAAGGGGAGTTATGCGTTCGAGGATACTGGAATAGTCCAAATGATATATCAGGAGCAGATTTACTTGCCTGGTTTGAGGAGCAGCTTCAGAGCATTGGCCTATCTGCATTAAATGATTCCCTCTATTTTCCTCAGATTTCAGGTATATGATTCCATTTTTTATGGTCTCTTTTGCTCTCTTGCCGCACATGGAATAATGTCTTAGAACGACCATAATTAGTGGAGAAAATGTTATCTCCTTAAAAATCGCTTATGCTCATCAATGGAATAATTAGAAAAATAGGTTGAAGGGAAGTAGTTCTAACTTTGAACTTTTACATAGAAGAACGTAAAGGGGGCTTAGAGAGCATAGGAATGACTAGTACTCTAAAGGACTTACGTTTTGATAATCAACCGCTATCAATATTTGAAGAAATCTGCAATGTCATATTGGTTTCTTTTCCTTATGGTGTTGAGGTGTTTCTACTGGTTGTTTCTTCGATGAAACATGCATTGATAGTAATAGTTAAACAAATGCTATGATGTTCTATGAAACCTTTCAAAATCATGGTTTTCACAACTTTTTCAGAATCTGGACTTTGGCAAATGCTATCTAAGGGCACTCGCTCAGTTTTGGTACAGCCAGTGGCTCAAAATCTAAACCAAAGTGGCAATGAGATGGAAAAGATTGGAGGGTTCATATTGGTGGCTTCAAGTTTAAGTTATGCATTTAGTGACAAAGATAGAGCCTGGATAAGAGCTCTTGCTACCAAGTTTGATAATGGGGACATATCGTGGGGAAGTAAGTAATAAATCTCCAATATATTTTTTGGCTATTGACGTGCTTTTCTCAGAAGTCATGAGCATGGTACTGATACTCATTTTTGCCAATAAATTAGAGAATGTTACTATTTTCTAGTTCAACAATCTTATTGACGCCCATTTCTTAGAGCTCACTAAGCTTTGCATTGATTGACGTACAAAAATTACTTTTTGATGCAACTGTTTCCAGCAAGACATGGAAAGAACAGAAACGTTACGCTGTGGATTTCCTTAGAAACTTAGGAAAGGGATATAACCTCTCTTTCAATGCCCTTTCTTATTTCTTCACTGTCTTTGGGCCAAAATCCATGAGAGGTGCTTGTAATTTTCCACTTAATATAATTTCTATGAACCTGCCTGTAACTGCCAAAGCTCACCGCTAGCCGATATATTTTTTTTTTGGGCTTTCCCTCCAAGTTTTTTAAGACGCATCTACGATGGAGAGGTTTCTACACTCTTATAAACGGTGTTCCGTTCTCCTCCTCAATCGATGTAGGATCTCACACTGCCTTTTTACGAAAATGATTTTGTTCTAAATTCTCTTTTATTTTATTCCTAATGAAGTAAATGCTTGGAATAAAGTTTGGAGTATCCTGCACCTATTTGGTACATGTTGAAATACGCGCTTGGACAACCAAATGAATGCTTGTTACGAATTTGTATAGAACAGAAGCTTAGCAGATCTTGGCAGATAATTTGGACATGATGCAGCGTCAACGTCTATAGAGAACCTTTGATTTCTTGGCCTGATCTGCTGAACTCAACTCTTTTTCCTCAAATCTAATTTGTTGGGGTGAAAATGTAAGAATCTATTAGAATCTATATGTTTGGGCGAAGAAAAATGTACATGAAAGAATATATGAAGAACAAATAAGGTCATACAAGTATCCCAGTGACCCCTTTTAGAGGTACCCTTCTTTAAGAACTATAATTTAATTTCTCCATGTACACAAGGAAAATGAAAAACAAAATTTATCTTTCAATTCTCTCTAACTTGAGCTCCTGACTCTTCTTTTTGTTATCAGGTCGAAAGGTCACTCTGTTCAATGAACAACGGAGATGAAGTTTCAGATTGAGCTACTAGGAGAGAGCCTTCGAAGCCTTATAAAAATTTCTCCCAGCCGTATACCAGATTCTGCCAAAGTAGTACAGAAAGGCGATAGTTTGACACAATACAGGATGAAGATCATTCAAGAAAATTTGAGGTGCATATACTGACGTGTGTTTAGGTACCTTAAGACGCACCACCTTTCTAATTGCCAGTAACAAGCCTGGCTTTAGACATTGCACTTTTGTAACATAATGTTTGAGAGCGTAAACCTGTGGTGCAAGCCACGACATGTGTTGGGAAAGGAAAAACCTACCACTCTGGTGGTAGATGTTAGGAACCACAAACCTCCACAATGATATGATATTGTCCACTTTGAGCACAGGCTCTCATGGCTTTGCTTACCAATGGATATGTATTCCTTAGTTATAAACCTATAATCATCCCCTTAGCCAATGTGAGACTCCCTCCCAACAACCACTCTGAGTAGAAAAGATTAAATTTACCAGTCTCTCACAACTTCCCTAATCTTAGTTAGATAAGAACAGAAACACGAGCTAGAACTTACCTCTCCAGAAGTAGATATTGGTGCTGGAAGGATGCTCTGGAAGAACTAGGCTGTGCACTCGAACTCGATCTTCTCCAACATCTTGTCCCTTTGCCTTGCAGGAAAAAAGGAGAAATAAGCAAGCGAGTCCTTTTCTAAACGGGCTTCTGAGTTTGGTGTCTTAGTCATCAACAAAGTGAATTTTCCTAATCTCTTTATAAGTTCTATGCAAATTTTGTAGACATAGTTTGATCCTTGTTGGCTGAATTCCTTCAAGTGAATCCCATGAATAAGATAGCTATACGAGGTGAAAGTAAAGAGAATAAAAGCAGGTACATTATGATATATATTTTATTTCACATCATGTCTCAATTCTTAATGACTGATACATCAAATTAAATGAGGCAAGAGACTGCTCATGAATTCAGCTTACCAGTCTCCGGTTGAAATATCTTCTCTGTTGCAGTTCTGGCCCAAGTTTGAGAGGTTGTTAGCTATTTGAGATGCATCTGAAGATGGCACATCCTGTCACCAAAAAAGTCAGTATTTAATGCCCATCTGCTACATTTACTTCTCTCTCTCTCTCTTAACGTCCTATGGTATTTTTTTATTTTTTTTAGTACAGCTTCATATGGTATTTTATAATACACTAATGGAGATTTGAAAGACTTGAATCCATGTACTTGATTCAGATGTTAAACTAAGCTAATGTAGGTGAGAGAGAAGAGGGCATGTTGATTCATCTATAGTTTAATGACAAAGGTCACAGCCTTGTACGAACACAATGAAAATGGAAAAGTATTGCCTATTTTTCTTCTCCTTTATGATTTTCTTTTCCTTTGAAACTGAAATAGCAAATTAATTGTTGATATGATTTGATTAACCTGTGCATTCTATCTGGATTCCACAGTCTCAACATTGCAGTAATGGGAGGAAGCTGAAATTGCAACTCGCTGGAGAAGATAGAACCAATGGACTGAGTTGGGGTGACAAGCCAACCCTGTGACCAAATCCATTAAAGCAGAGAGAAAGAACAGGAGAGGGTTCTCTAAGGAACCACGATTTTCAAAATGGTATGATATTATCCACTTTTGAGCTCAAATGATCATGGCTTTGCTTTCGATTTTTTCAAAAAGCCTCGTACCAATGAAAATGTACATTTTACTTATAAATCCATGATCATCCCTTTAATTAGCCAATGTGACTCCCTCTCAACAATTTTTCCTGTGAACAAAGTACATCATAGAGCCTTTCCTGAGACTTATGGAGTCCTCGAACAGTCTCCTCTTAATCGAGGCTAGACTCCTTCTTTGGAGCCGTCGAACAAAGTACACCATTTGTGCGACACTCGAGTCATATTTGAGTATACTTTTGAGACTCACAACTTTTTTGTTCGACACTTATGGAATCTATTAACATGACTAAGTTAAGGGCATGACTATAATACTAGATTAGGAACCATGATTCTCCGCAATAGTATGATATCATCCACTTTGAGCATAAGCTCTCGTGGCCTTGCTTTTGATTTTTCCAAAAGACCTCATACCAACAAAGATGTATTCCTTACTTATAAATTCATAATCATCTCCTTAATTAGCCAACGTGAGCTCCCCCAACAACAATCCTCGACAGGTTCAATTAAAATATCTCGCCCTGTACTCACCATGCTTGCTTTCTCACAGAGATAATGCAGTCACTGTGTCAACTTTTATTCCAGGAACATAAACCTCACTTCTCAAACCAAATGAAGTTGCCTAAATTGAAAAAAAGAAACAAGGCAAAGATGAAGTGTTGGGTCTCGAATATTTCCGGAGGAGATAGAAGGGCCCATCAGAGAAAAGAAAAAAAAAAAGTTTGATGTTTGCCAAATGGGGAAGAAAGATGAAGATGCTACCTGCTTCACGTTCTCATATACTTTAGAAGGTTCGGTAAAATCAACAACTCCTGTTTCCTTTGACTGCAAATTAGCAATAAAATAGAAAACTTATAAGACTTAAAGCTAGACAAGGCAATAGATGAAGTTCCAGAGGTTCCTAACCTAATTTCATTTGTACAGATCAGCAAAATCACTGAGGAGAGAAACGAAACTGTGGGGTTTCATTATAAAAGAAAAGAGACCCAGGGCCGCCATTGTTGTTGTTGAACAAAACAATGAGAGTTATTGCAGGTGAGTGTGGGGTTACCTTGATATTACTCCGAAGAGAAGCGAATTCAAGATGTGATTGTGGGTTGCTTTTTCTCTGAGTTTTTAGACACTGTAAAGGGAATGAGCAAGCCAGGGCCGCCATTGTTGTCGGTTTCAAAGCTCTGTTTCTTCTCTAATTTCCCAAAGAAGATAAGCCCATTTTTCGGTTGACCCTCGTGTGTATCTTTGTTTGATAAGATTTTGTAATTGCAAATTTGAGCTCATACGAAAGCGACAGGATCACAATTTTCTTGAGAGAACGTAATAAATGGGGTATGGATTTTTGGGCTTTTCAGCTATAAACATTTGGGGGTTTCCATTTTTTTCTTCATACAATTAGTTTGTTTCTTTCTGATAGGTTGAATGTCGAATGGGACTAAGCTCGTACAATGAAACCATTAAACCATAGATTTAGTAACAGATTAGTAAACCACTAGATTATCTTGCTATATACTTCATTTTTTTTTAAATTATTTTCAAAAACATTAATCTTTCTTTTTTAAATATTTTTATGCAGAGAATAAATAAATAAATATATTATTAATTAACAAACTAATAAAGAAAACTAGATAAAATTATAAAATGAAAAAAATTAGAATATTACCCTCGATTTTCATAAAAAAAAAATTTAAAAACTAATTTTAAAATAGAATATAATCTAATAAAATATTGGACGTTTTAAATATAAAATCAAATTTGGAAAAAAAATCTATAAAATAAGATATATTTTTCAAAGAAATTACTAAATTTAGGTGTATTTTAATTAATTTAAAAATTTAAAAATAATTAAGTTTTTGAAAAGAGAAACCCACAAAAATTGAGTGAATCTGTCCTAAAAATGGGTGGGAGTAATTAAAAAAGATAATACCAAAATCCACATAGCTTTCAGAGAACAAGTTCCATTAAATTAAATACAACAATACCTATTGACCCAATTAAAAGTTTTTTCTATTTTAATATATAGTATTTAAATTAAATTACTCTTTAATCCCTTTCCATCTAACTTCTAATTTTGATTTGGATTAATTTAAATCATTTTTAATTCCTTATTATTATTATTATTATCTTGGTGTGATATCAAATCTATATAAATATATATATATATATATATTATACACATAATTTCCCATTAAAAATTGGCATCAATTACTTTAAAAGAGATTAATAATAATAAAAAAAGCTTTCCCAATGATAATGTATTTTTCTAGTTTTGCATTATATCAAAATCATTATCAATTTCAATATCTCCAAAATCCTAAATATGATTTTTTAAATTAAATTTATGCTTACTACAAATAATTAAACTCAATTTTATCATTCATAAATTATTTATTTCAAATTCACATAAATTACAAATTCTTTTACTAGTGAAATATTAAATTAGAAAAATAAGGAATCAATAATATAATTAATACAAAAAAATATATTTATTGCCATTTTATTGAGTATTTACCAAATGGTTTAGGGATCATTAGAGGAAGCTAATTCCAAGTCCACCGACACGGTAAAAATTAATTAAAATATTTGTCAAAAGAAAAAGAAAATAAAGGTCCAAATTATATGCTTTAATAAAAGGTCAAGTCATAATAATAAAACAATTTAAATAGAATAATTACAGGAATAATAAAGAGTCAACGAATAAAGTAGGTTGCAACGTCCCTATCGAAACGACGTCCGCATGGAATAAACTCTTTGATTTGACTTGCCACGCGCAGTGACTTTTTTACCCAATGCAAAATCGACGCGTGGTATACACACGCCGGAGTGTCGGTGGTGGTTGCCAATTCACCAGACCGTGATGCGTTGATGTGGCGTCCTTGTGTCCAATGGGTCCCACTGCCACATGTCATTGCTTAATTTTCCAAATTTTATTAGGAGATTCCATTTTGAAAGATTTTTTTCCCCCAAAATCTTTAGCATAATTTTGAATTTTATAAATTTTGATAAATTCATGCCATATTTTGATATGTTTTTAAATTTTTTTTTAGAAACTTTCTAATTTAATTATTATTTTTTTTATTATATTATGCATTTGCATGTAAATATATAAAATTAAAAATCAATAATTGGTTGAATAAATATATAATTATAAAACAATTATTTTTTTTTTTCAAAATGTGAGATTTTCTCCATTTAAATGAAATTATGTAGTTCTAATTTATCAAAGATTATGATTAAAGGGAACAAAAATTAAATAATGGAAGTTAGTGAAATGTCTAAATTACCCCTAATTTGGAGACAAAATGTTTGATGAAAAATGGGAAAGAGTGGGATTTTGTTTGGAAGTTCCAAAATTATATTCACAAATAAAATTGGAATTACTTTCATAAAAAGAAAAAAAAAAAAAAAGGAATCTTATTTAGTAATTTACTTTTGGGAAGTTTCTACCAAAAACCAATTATCTTATGCAAAACTTATCTTCAAAAGGGAAATTTTATTTATTTATTTTTTATTTTTTATTTTAGTAAAATTTATTTATTTATTTCTATGAATTATCTATAATAAGTTTCACTCTAAAATATTCATTGTTTTGTGTACCTAATTAAGAATATTAAATAAAAAATTCTTTTAACAAAAATGAAAAATATTTCTTACAATATTCATAAGAAAAAAAATAAAAGAAAAAGTCCTAAAAATAGTTTTTAGTAAATATTCCCATTGTAACTTATATCAATATTTAATTTCAATTTTGTGCCTACTTTTCTTTTTTTTTTTTAGTTAATTTATTTTTCAAAAATAAACTTCATTAAAAGGATTTGCGGATAATGAGCATAGTTGGTGATACCGAGTGAAGAAAGAATCCTCAGTGTCCAAATTTCACGAATTTAATAGAGTAACGAAGATAACTACTTTGTATACGATATATAGACTTGACCATTCAATCAATATAATATTGAATGAGCAATTCACGAAATTCTTTGTTTTCAATAGGCTTTAGTCACACATGTAATAGACCATCACGTCCTTGAGAAAGACGATCACTATCTCCCTTCAACCCTTTGAGCAAAATGCAATAAAAGGGAGAGATGGATCGACCCCATTCCCTCTGTAGGAACTATCGAATCACTCTAAGGGTGCCTTTGGTGTCTAAGGTTTGTGAATCCAACTAATGGAACAATTTAGTGCATTTTTTCAAGATCTAAGTCAGAAGAAGGTAGCTTGTAACAACGCAAGTCTAGTGCTTGTAGATATTGTACACTTTGGCCCATTACGTATCGCCATCAACTTCACGATTTTTAAAATGCGTTAATTAGGGAGAGGTTTTCACACCCTTATAAAGAATGCTTCGTTTCCCTCTTCAACCGATATAAGATCTCACAATCCACCCTATTTAGGGATCCAACGTCCTCACTGTCACACCACCTAGTATTTGGCTCTAATACCATTTGTAACAACTCAAATCCATTGCAAGTAGATATTTTCTACTTTGACTCATTTCTATCGCCGTCAGCCTCATGATTTTTAAAACGCATATGTTCGGGAGAAGTTTTCACACTCATAGAAGGAATATTTCATTCCTTTCTACGACCAATATGAAATCTCACTTAGTTTGTTTGATCCTTACACCCAAACATATACAAGATATGACAATGTTTGACGAATTATTGAGATAGACAAGATAACGAGACACATTTTCAAGCATACTAAATTAACGAAGCCAATGAGACGAACATAAACCAAATGGATAATTAGGAGATGGAAAACAAAGTGCACATGTAAGTGTTAAGTGTTAATCAATGAGAGGGGAAGGGATCTTTGCTTTGCTTTTAAGACACACAGAAAAACACGAACACAAAACACCACACCATAATACATATAATAATAACGTAATTTTGAGACGCAACAGTTCCTCCACACATACGTAATATGTCTCTTCCATTTCCCCTTTTCCTTTATAACCCAACCCACTTCCAACACAACCTTTGGCGGCTTTTCATTTCCCCTCTTTCTTATATAATTTTGCTTATTCCATTTAGATATATATATATATATATATGAGAGTAAATCAACACCCAACTTAGCTGGCCACTCGTTTTTATGTTTTCTTTCCTCCCTTTTCTCTTTCTGCTCTTCGCTGCCTTCGTCCCTCGGTTTCTAGAGGGATTTTCTCGGGAACGTTTGAGACTTTAGCAAGTGGGGTGGGGAAATTTTTCGCAGGGAAGGCAATTGGTGGCTGCTTTGGGCGCATCCCGATTCTCCGTGGCCTGACAGATTCTGGGTTCTTCGGATTTGAGTCAAAGGGGAAACCCCATTTGAATTTAAGAACAAGAATCGGATGAAATTTTGGCGATTGGGGGCTTTTGATTTTGTTTCTCAATACCTGTTTTAGACGCGTGGCTTTTGCAATTTGCTTCGACAACTCTGTTAATGCTGGCGTCACTGCCTTTTTCAACGATAATCTCTTGACGTCTATTGGGTGGGTCTCTTTCCATTTTTTTAACAGATCGCCGAAGAAAAATTTCCACGCCGTTGAGATCTGCTGCTTTCCGATTGGTTCTTCAGTCAAAGATGATGAAAATGAAGACGAAAACGACAGGGCTGTCTCAGATTAAAGGTAGTTCCGCAGTCGGTGACGGGGGCGGAGACGGTCAGCTGATGGATTGGGAATTACGGCCAGGGGGAATGCTTGTTCAGAAGAGAAACGCTGATTCCGACCGGGAATCAACTCCGGCGCCGCCGACGATCAGAGTTAGAGTCAAATACGGCTCTAATTACCACGAACTTAGTATCAGTTCACAAGCCACATTTGGTGATGACCCTTTTCTTGTATCCAAATTTCGGAGAATCCCAAATGAATTGGAGGCTGATTTTTTGTTTTGTCGGTGTTTTTTGTTGGTTTGAGTTGCAGGGGAGTTGAAGAAGATGTTGGTCGGACCGACAGGATTGCACCATCAAGATCAGAAGCTGTTTTTCAAGAAAAAAGAGAGAGATTCAAAGGCGTTTCTGGACATTTCTGGAGTGAAAAACAAATCAAAGATTGTTGTAATGGAAGACCCAATTAGCCAAGAAAGAAGATATGTTGAGATGAGGAAGAACGCCAAAATGGAGAAAGCTTCAAAATCTATATCAGAAATCAGCTTGGAAGTTGATAAACTTGCAGGACAGGTAAATTGTTTGTTTTGTTTTGT